AGGAAAATGGAGCCTACGTCTGCTACATATAGCTGCGATGTGGGTAAGACTGGAAAAAGGAGTTTGCCTCTCTGACTTATCATTCCTGATTAAATAAAAAAGTACATGCAAAAGATGAAAGCATAGAGTTTGCCTTATTGGAGATGAAGCTACAGAGATAGAAGCAAAATTATTAATGAGCTAGCACACGATACAGAGGAGTTCAGCTTCTCTTATCTGCAATACAGATTTCACTGGAAAAATCTAACTGGGAAAATATCATGATCAGATGTGGATGTCAGAAAGAGATCTTTTTTTCTTTTTTAAATCTACTGCTTTTATTTTATTTTTTTAATTTTAATTTTCTTTTTGGTACCGGGGATCAAGCTCGGGTCCTTGCACTTGCGCAGCAGGCAGCAAAACCACTGAGCTAAATCCCCAGCCCCAGAAAGAGATCTTTGACAAGAATGGTTTAGTGAGAGGTGAAACTAGAATAACATGGAGTTTTTCTTTTTTTAAAAAAAAAATTACTAAAGAAAAAAACAAACAAAATAACATGACTAGAGTAAACCAACTCAGAGGGTCTCCGCTTTTACTGAGGACATGCAAAATGAAGTTCACATTCACAAGGTACTTCTATAGGTGCCCTGAGAGTGCTAATTCCTGCTACACTACCTGTCATGCTACTGCTTTCTCTTCTACTCCTAAAAGTACAATGGACTGCAAGCCAGTGAACGTCACATTTATAGGATTACCCTTCTAGTTTTTGTTTTTATTTTTAAGGTAAGCCATTTGCAAAGTACCATATTTTACTAATATTAACTACTATAACTAAGAATCACTGGGCTGGATTACAGAACCAGCATTGGTAAGAGGGAAAGAAGACAGACAGACTAAAGGCTAAAAGCAGACGTGAAGTGATTTGGTGACTGACTATACAAATGTGTCCTAGGCTCCTGACCTGGGAAACTGGAATGGCACTAGCATCACTTCACCAAAACAGGAAATTCAGGAGAAAAGGCTGTGGCAAGAGAAGATGGGGAGTTCAGCTTGTTCAGGGTGGAGTCCCTGATACCTACAACAACACCTGGTACTCAGCAGGTTCAATAAACACTCTCTGAAATTTTCAGGGTCTACTCAAGTTAAAGCAATACTTCATTATCATTTATTCCACTGCATGGAGATACATTTCAATTATCCTTTCATTAGCTGTTGGGTACTTGGATTCCTTCCACTTTTTGGCTACTATGAATGATAAATTTTGGTGTGGACATACGTTTTCATGTCTCTTGAATA